CATGTCAAGCCAAAGTTTGTGGCCCAAAACTTTGGCTGTTCCCTTGTGCCAATGAAAGTGGTCAGTTAAAAAATGTCAATTCCCCCCGCTTTGAAGATTCCCGACTGAGACAAAGAGGACCGAAGTAAAGCGAAAGTAATATGTCTGGGGCATGCATAATTACCAAACTTTGCGGCAGGGACACATAAGTCATATATCCTGCCAAATGACCAAACGGACAAGAGTCCTGTGTCAGGATTTATGTATGTAAATAGCAGAGTGGGAGAAGGTGGGCTGCAAATTAAACACGACACTGCGTCGTTATCTTTATAAATCAAAGGGAATTACAAACCCATATTCTCCAACCCCCTTTGGAAAAATCCAGCCCACATGTGAATGCCGCAAATTCTGGAAATTGTTGCAAACCCTTTCGGCAAACAGCTCAAAGGATTCACTTACCCCATTCCCCCCTCACCGCTTGTGGACATATTTTTAATGATTTATTTCCAATTTAAGCAAGATTTCGTACTTAAGATGCTCTGCCTAATGGCCGTTTGGTACCCACCACCCCCCAGGACACAAGGTCAGTGGTCACTGGCTCTTTCCCTTTGGAATTCCCAGTCCCCAAGATCAAAAGGGTGCAGCCTCTTCATTTCCCCCGGCTTCCTTTTCTGGTAGTGTGCTAATATGCAAATCCAATTTATTGCACTGCCCTCCCCAAACTCTGGATTTTCCATCCTGCACTGAGAAAAAATTCTAAGCGTTTAAAAAAAGGGTTCCAGAAAATCGTGTTGAAAAATTAGCAATATTATCTGTCATCATTTTAATTTACTTCTTAAATATTTTATTTTCCACCATTTTTAAAAAGGACATTCTATTAAAAGTTGTTTTTAGATAAATATCGATTTGAAAGGTTTTGCAATAATATTTGTTTTTTGAAAATGTGGCTTAGTTTAAATTTTAATATTTATTTCTCAGTGCTCCCATTCTGGTTGTCCTTTCGCCGGGCGTGAGTTATACGAATCCTTTTTATCTCGACTGTCGCCTGGCGTGCGTCGGGCGCATAAATCTTGTATAAGTTCGCTCCTTGGCAAGGAGTCAATATGCTAAATCAGCAGAATCCTTTTCTCCCCTGCAAGGATTCAGCAAGGAAGGATGTTTGGACAGCTGCTAAGACATTTCAATAACGCTGTGAGCCGGTGTATACAGATATGCTGGTACATCCGAAGGCGACAATGGTTATGCTTCCTTGGCTGGATTGGTTGCTCCTCTCGGCTTCTCCTGACCGATGTTTGTTGAATTTTAATCATTTGCGTGATGCAGACTCAAGTGGAGTTTGGTACCTATACCTACCTATATCTACCTACAACTTTATCGATAGCGAGAGTGGGGGAAAGTGAATCGAGGAGTGGAGAAAGGTGGAGAAAGAGGGTGGATTATGTTTGAATTTGCAAGCCAAGAAAGTGCAAGGACCTCAAGAATAAGCTCGCAGATTTTGCCTTCAACTTTGGCAAAAGAGTTATCCAAACCAACTGACTGAGTGAATGCAAATTGACTGGAAATTCCAATAAACAAGAATAAATGTGGTGCATACATTGGACTTATAAAGCTTTTAATACTTTTAAAGTCTTTAATTTGGTATTTGTTCATAGAAAAAAAAAGGCTTTTTAGCCTTAAACTAAAATAGCAATATTAAACTTACCAAAATATTATCGCCGCTCAAAAACAACAACACAAGAAAACACTCGTCTACCGGCGAATGAAAAACGGAAAGCACACGCGAAAACTTTTCGGTAATAAGCGCGGATGATCAGGCGTTTACTCTCAATAGCCGACAATTTGGAAATGACCAAAGCCCCACTTGATCTATGCAGTTGAGAGTGCATTGGAAAGACTGGAAGTTGCGGGCGTAGCGAGAGCGGGAGAGGGAGAGAGAGTGGCAGAGACCGGAACCTAAGGCTCAGCTTCCAGAATACCGATCAAGAATAACTGTAATTAAGAAAAAATCATCTTAAAAATTATCTAAAGTTCAGTTATAATAGTTATAAAATCCCAAGCGATAAGAAATCTTAAAAGCTGTTTATAAAATAGTATAAGCTAATAAATTCCATTTTATTAAAGTCATATTTTAAACTTAATAAATGTTCCATTGATCACAGTACTTGATCCTGCAGTACTCTACCAATTTCATTTCCTCGTTTGACTTTTTCAACCGGTTCGAAAGGATTTCCCGGGGGCCATGCCTGTCACTCCTAAATGGGCGCCCAGAGATTTATGGTGAGAACAGCAAACAAGCGGAGAAAGTGGAAAATAATCGGAGTGCGAGGAGTGGAGTTCAGATGAGTGAAAGACAAAGGAACTATCCGGATATAAATCATCTCCTGGCGGCAGGCGGCGAATATCCTGCGGCGCTGGCTGCTGCCACTTGAAGTCAAAACCGGTTCGGTTCAGTTCAGTTCGGTTTGGTTTGGTTTGATACAGGATCCTAAAAGCAGACAGGACATTCGCTTTCCAATTTTCATTTCCATTTCATGCCTATTGTCCTGGCCGGCGTTGCAAATTTGTCAGCGAACGAGGAGCAGGACAAATGTCAGCGCGATAAGCGTGCAGGCACTTTTATCTGAAGGATATGCGCAGGATGAATCACTCGCACGTCTCTGCCCGAAATATTTCACTACCAAATTGGCTGGCTATCTGGCCTCACACCCTAAACAAAATATGGAAAAAAATGTATTGTCATTTGATCCGACTTGGAAATACCCCATACTTATGGCCGTTTTCTCGTCCGCCTGTTAAATTTAAAGTAGGGTTAAAGCTCTGATTTCCCATAAGATTTCAAGGTTTTAACCTCACTCAATTTAACAAACCGACGAGAAAACGGCCCCTAAAGGAGTAAATAGTAAAAATAGTAATAGTAAAAAAAAAAAATATATTGTACATTTTTGTTGATTTAAGTTAGTTTTAAAATAAAAATCTAAAATCCAAAAAAAAAATTTAAATTTAGTTCGAAAGATTTTTTTTGGTTTGTAATAAAGTTCGGTTTGTTTTGGTGACTTTGATTTCGTATTTTTTTTTTGTCATATTTATTCTGGCTTCTTCATATTATGATAGGAATTACTCAAAGATATTTAGCCAGTGAATCTCCATTTAAATATACACCATATTTAAAGGGTACTCCATTGCTGATAAAAAATAACATTCGCAAAAAAGCAATAAAAATCATTGGCAAATTGGTCGAAAGGCATGAACAAAAGTTTGCCTTCGTTGGCCAAGATTGATAGTGGGTCCAAATGTCATGGATGGACCATTTATATGCTGGACACACCACCCAGAAAACTCCGCCCCTTTTTTTGGTCAATCGAACGAATTGCGCTTAAATATTTGCGGGGCTTATCAAAAAATTTGCGGCCCATTGTCGAAATCGGATTGATGCAATTTTAAATCCGCAACGAACAAGGACATCTGCTCAAATATTAGCTTATGAAATTGTTTAAAATGCCAGGCACTAACCCATTCACTCTGGTCACGCTTCGGAAAACGGGAAATCTGGTTGGCTGTAGAGGGCAGGAAGAGGAAACCCAAGCACAGCCTTTTGACAGTTGCCACAATTTATCATAATTCAATGCATGGCATGTCCTGTCAATCACTCGAATCGACATGGACATGGACATGGTCGTGGACATCGAAGGGGTGAATCGAGCACACATTAGCCCAAGGGCAAGGGGGTGAATAAGTCCCCGATATGCTTGTGGACATTTTTACAAGTGACTTATGAATTATTCTTTGTACTTGCTCCAGTCTTTCGATAAATCCCACACAGAAAACAATTATTCAGCTATTCTATAATTTGCAGATCCGCAATATATTTTTAAATATTTAAGTTTCTAATTTTGATTTAAAATAATTATAAAGAGTTATTTAAAAAAAAAATTTTTTAAGTAATATTCGGGATTGAAAATTCATATTATTTAGTGCTATGATAAATACTTTAAATATTTAGTTTAGCATACATATATGGAATACAAATTTTCGAAATCCTCTAGAAAATCTCTAGAAATGTTGTACTTTCTTATTCAAAGAACTCGAAAGTACAAACCATTCCTCATGATATTTTTTCTCCGTGCACCCTTCGTCTCGCTTAACTCCCTTCTTATGGTTGGCTTTTTGTGTTTTCGAATCAGATTAGCCTGGGGAAGGGGTTAAGAGTTTGGGGTTATCCTCAGTGGGCGGTGAGTACATGAAAGGGTCAATAATGGGACTCGAGACGAAGATGCCGACGTTTATCAAACGGAATATGCGATGCGAACGAACCATTAGCCACTGGCCACTGATGGACAGGCGAGACGTGATCCCAGATACGCCTCATCAAGTACATTGTCATGGGACAATAAAGGGTTAATCGGCTAACAGAGGGATTGCCGTATTATCTTCTTTTATAGGGCGAGCAAAAATTAGCGAAAGTATATCTTAGTATTAAGTGTTGCAATTGAAAGGGGTATCAAATGATCTGCACTTTACTAAGATCTCTAGGGAATTTTGTCATCCGATAGGGTTTACTTACTTTACTTATGGTATTAAATATTGTATTGCCCTTCGTAAGGCATCTAAAAATGCTATAAAAAAGCCCAAACAAAATATTTAATTTATTTTTAAAACCTTCTTTGGAACGTGTAAATCACATTCGATTTCCGTCGGAAAAAACCCGCAATAAGACTGAAATCACCCAATCCCAATAAAATACGCACTTCATAATTATTTCGTTACATATATTGTTTATTTATTTATTTAAGAACTTGCTCGTCTAATTGACAGAAAAATATAAAGATATAGGATGTATTGAATGGGTTGTGCTTGAGTGTCTTCCTATGCGAATGATCGATTCCACTTAAACCTAGGCGAAATCTCGGCGATTGCATAATGCTGAGAGCCCCCTCCCGAGTCACAACTCAAAGAACTTAAATACTTAAGACATGCGTTGATTTTTTCATTTTTGATAAGAAAGAACAGACGTGGAATTTTGGTGTGCTGGTTTGAGGATCGCGCAGTCGAACGGATAATTTATTGGCCAGTTGGTTGGATGATTTAATAGCGGACCCTCGGGGAAGGCTCTTTCTCGGCTAACAGATAACAACAGAACACTTTATGAACTCGACTGGCTGATAATTTTGATGACTGGGCTGCTCCACCTTCTCGTAACGCCACCCACTTTACAGGGTCTTGTCGAACAGGAATTCGCCCAGTTCGCCGTTGGTGTCCATCATCTTCTTCAGAGTGGTCAGCTTGCCGGCGAGCTCGCGCTGTCCATGGAGCTGCTCCTCCAGATAGACACCGGTCAGGTAGTCCACCAGATGGTAGTGGTTGTAGGGCTTGCCCTCGCAGGTCTGGATCAGCTTGCGGATGGAGCGGGTGACCTTGATCTCCAGGTCGAGGGCATCGGACAGAGCGCTGGCTCCATCGGTCCACTCCTGCTTGGCAACAGTCTGTGGGGGATAGGCCAGGATTAGCGGTTTTTCAAGGTTTCTTTAAGGGATTCCTAGACTTACCGGCACATTGATCAGATCGCTGACTCCCTCGGTCAGCTGACCGCGCATGGAGAGGTACTCGACCAGCTTGGAACCGTGCTCACGCTCCTCCTTGGCGGCCTTGAAGAAGTGCTCGGCAAATCCGGGGCGGTTGACGGTGTCGCGGGAGAAGTAGGCGCCCATGGCCAAGTACTGGTAGGAGGCGTTGATCTCCTCCTGGATCTGGTGGCGCATGCCCTTGATGCAGGCATCCTTGATGTCCACCCAATCCTTGGTGATCTCGGGAACAGCCAGGGAGCCTATAGTAATGGGGTGGGTTTGGTTTAGTCGGGGGTTTTTTAAAAATAATACAAGCTTAAATCGAATTTATCTAACTTAAGGGAAAATAAAAAATAAATTTAAAATAAAAAAAATAATAAAAAATGCAGAAAAATAAGTAAAATTTAAAAAAAAAAATTGTAATTACAATCTAAAATATAAAAAAAAATATTTAATAAAAAGTTGAAAAAGTAAAATTCTAACTTTACTTAAAGTTTTGAAAATAAATTTTTAAAATGTAATCGTAAACAAATTCGACCTTTGTAAGCTTGACTTGGGTTTGTTCTTCAGTTATAGAAACCTTTGCACCCCTGATCTTGACCTTCGCCATGGTTTGGGTTTGAGTTTTGTTTTTCTTTTTCTTGTTTCTCTAGCTTTTGCCTTTCTCGCTCTATGTGCAGCTCTCTCGCGAAACTCTTGCTTTCTTGCTTGGCTGAGGGGGAGGGTTGGGTTGAGGTTGGTGGGTTATTGCATTTAAGAGGGCGTTATTGCATAAACCTTTGAAATTGCGCTTGGAATGCCGTTATTCTAGGGCAAAAGAACCGTGTGCAAAACTGCAATGGCTTACTCTCTCGCTCTCCCTCTCTTTGTAACTGCATTGGTAACGTGCGCAGTTCTCGCCGCCATAGTAACGGTATTTGTTTTGGTTTGGGGCCGTGTGCAAAAAGCATGTTTTCCATGCTATCTCTGTCTCACTCTCACTCTACAAGCCGTGTGCAAAGAGAGCTTGGAATTGAAATAAACTGGGAATTATTCATGGAAATGAAAGCGAAATTCGCATATTTTAATTAGGAAATATATTCATAAAAACTGGTTATCATTTCCCCAGAAGCGTAACGGAAGTATCAATAATTTAAAAAATCAACTGGTTTGGTAACTTCACTTTACTCCACAAAGAAAAAGAGAGTGAAAGAGCACCGAAGAGAAACTGCGCATGCCCACGCTCTTAATTTTCTTCCACTCTTTGCTTATTGCGTCGAAATTTTATGGGTTTTTCCATTGTTTTGTTTGGAATTTTATCAAATAATACTTACACTTGAAGTCCCCATAGGCCTGGGCCACCACGGCCAACAGGAGCAGGCTAGCGATTAATTTCACCATCTTTGATCGTCTTTATACACAAAATCACAGAACCAAAATTTATTTGTCACTTTTAGTTTGTTTTGCTTGAGATGCACAAATGAGAATGAGGCGACTCGGGTTGAACTAGAATGTTAAATAGCTCTTATTCAGCTGGCTGCCTTTACACACACTGGCGCAGAAGGCGTCGCCTGCTTCTTGATGGGCTTTGATTGGGGATTACTTTTGACTCGATTTCTCGAACGACTTCCAGTACCTTCTGCCTTGACAGCTTTAATCTGATTTTTCAGTACAGCTAATGCCTTTACTTTGTGTTTTTAGCGAACTCGAAAGCGAACTGTCGCTCCAAACGGCGCACAAAACACTTTTAAACGAAACTCGCTCTCGATGGCGGGCCTCTGTGTGTGTGCGTGAGTGGAAGAGTGTGCACTGTTATCTCTGCGTTTCCAACATGTCGCCTTTCCTTTGTTAACCATTTAAATGGCTGATAATTGAATATATTCCTATTGATAGACGCACTTAATTTGATACACACGTCCTCAATACGGCTATACTTTGTATGGAAAGTCGGGTTTCCTACTCAGATAATCGGGGAATACACAGTATAATCATCAAATATGGCCGCTCTTTTGCGCTCTGCGTCAGCTGTTCTTTGTTTTTGTTTTGGCCCTGGCACAGAGAGCACCACGTCATGGGTTGCCAGGCAGTTTAATTTTCGCCTGACAATTTAATTCTGATTTGGTCAAGTTGATTTGTCACGTTCGGCGGGGGGATCAATCAGTAACTCTGATAACTACTAAATATGGCGACGGCTTTTTTTAGGTGTCGTTTGCAGAGCCCACAGAGTGACACAAGGGGGATAAATGCTGGGAAAACTATAAATTTTGTTACATCACTGGGGAAACCCTATAATTCACGCAGTCTGAGACATTAAAAAGTTTTCATAATTTTAATAAAGTTAAGAATTATTTATAAAGAACAACTATATAAATTCCAATCTATAAAAATTAATTATAGGAATGAACCATTTAAAAGTAGAATCTGAGATGAGTGTGGGATTTAAAATTATTCAAAGTAATGTGTTGGTTTGTAATATACCATTAGTTTTAAAACCTCGTTAAAAACAATAAAGTAAGAAAATCAGATTAATCTCTGCAATTTATTTATTTCTTATCTTTTATGAAACATCAAATCCCCCTTCGCCTACTGATAAAACCCCTCGAGTAACCACTTGACATCCAAAGTGCAGTGTCCATCTTTTGCACACGCTGACAACCCTGCCGTGAGTCACCTTCCAGGGGGCAACAAAAACAACCCAGCAGAGCGGCCATGTTTGAATGACAACGAAATCCCCGCACTGAGCGCAAAACGACAAATGCCCATGCACTCTCTCCAGAAATACACACACACCCAGCGTTATCGATCGCAATGAAAGAGACGAACGCGACGCTATAAACAGCAGTTGATTTTCAAAGTTCCACCAAGCAGCACACAAAAGCAGCGTTCAGAAAGTCAAAACGCATAGCAAGTGAGTTTAATCAGTTACTAACTACTTAGTGAGTGTTTATTAGGGGGAAACTGCAAAAAAATTACCGCGAAACAAAACGTAAACCACGAAAATCACAGAAAAAACAAATTCCCTCGGTGGTGGTTTGGGTTTGTTGTGGAAAAAAACAAAGAGAACGTTCAGGAAAACTCTACGACGCAAAAGGGCCGTTTCCACATCGAACGAAAACAACAGTGGCTGTTTTTCAATTGTCAATTATTGTGAAACTAATTTCCTTTGTTTTCGCATTTCGAATTTGGTTTTAATTTACAGTTAAACCGCCGTCAAGATGAAATTCTTCATTGCACTCGCTCTCTTCGCGTGCCTCGGCTCCCTTGCCCTGGCCAGCAACGAAGAGTACTGTCAAAACACCGTAATCACGGCCTGCTCTTCCTCGGCCTTCTCGGGTGAGTAAAAAGAGAGCGCCTCTCGGGCGAAGAGAACCTAATCTGTGTCCCCTGTGTTGTTGCTTTTTTTGTATCTTTGTGAAAATAATAATAATAATAAATAATAAAAACAAGCGCTCACGGGCTTTTTTACAGGCAAAAGTAAGTGGAAAGTAGAATGGATGTTTTAGAAAAAAATATTATTTAAATTTTGCGCACTTTTCAAATATTAAGTTAAATAATTTAAAATACTAATTTCAAAATTCTTATTGGTCTTAAAATCTTCAAAAAAGTATTTTGTATATTTTTTTTGTTTATTTAAGTAGTTAAATTCAAATTTAATGTTTTTAATCTCAAAAACTTAAAAAAAACTTTTTTTTTATTTTATCCTTATGTAATAATTCTGTAATATGTATAACATTCACCAACTATTTTCCAATTAGGAACCGCTAAAACTTAATTTTCACTATAACTGCCCTGTAAATGTGCTTTTCCTGCTTCTATTTCAAGAGATTATAATTTGTATTATTTTCTTCCCCTCTTTCCTTCAGGCAACTCCATTTGTAATGCCCGTTTCGCTGGCATTGACCACGTGGAGCCCGAGATCCAGTCGTACATCAACGCCCAGCTGGCCAAGTCCTACGACTACCTGCTGCTGGCCACCCACTTCAACTCGTACCAGAAGAACCGCCCCGGCTTCCAGAAGCTGTACCAGGGACTCTCGGATCGCTCCTTCGACGACAGCATTGCCCTGATCAAGCAGGTGACCCGCCGTGGAGGAATCGTGGACTTCAACACCCGTCACGAGTCCGCTGGTTCGGTGAGCACCAAGCGCGGAACTTTGGAGGTCGATGAACTGCACTCCCTTGCCCTGGCTTTGGATACCGAGAAGCAGCTGGCCAGTGGAGCTACCCACGTGCACTCCCGTGCCACCCACGCCACCGATGGAGACCGCGATCCCGAATTGGCCCACTACTTCGAGGAGAACTTCCTGGGCAAGCAGGCCGAGAGCGTGCGCAAGCTGTCCGGCTATGCCAACGACCTCGCCAAGCTGATGAAGGTTCCGGATCCATCCCTGTCCGTCTACCTGTTCGACGAGTACCTGCAGAAGCAGTAAGGAGTGGCTATCGCCAGCTCCTCCTCCCAAAACATACACTCCTCTACACTTTTCCCTCAAAATTGCTCTCATAAATCCCTTATAAATTAATTTGTTTCCTTGGTTCGTTCATCAATAAATCGCAGTGCAGCAGTAAGAATTATCAAAAGCAGCCAAAATGAATGATTTACACACCCCTTCCCCAAGTTCACCTTGATTTACCAGCACACCAGATTGTGATAATGTTATCATAAATAAGTTAGCAAGTTGGCCCCAGCAAAATGTATCTTAAGCATGTACGTTACCGCTTGAACAAATAAACACAACAAAGTAACTAAATATCAACTAGTAAAACAGCAGATTGTTTGTGCCTCTCTGATAAGGTTTGGGTTTTCAAAATGGATCTGGTCCTCAATGTGGGGCGTCTGTTTGCGTTTTTCTTCTCCGACTGCTGATAGCGCCGGGTAGCTGGCAATGTACTTTGGATACCACATGGAACAATGAAACGTACAATCGCGAAATTCCTCGAAAAATACTCAGTTCTGCTATTACAAAAGGGTGTTCGGAAATATTGTCGTATTTTGGCTTTACATTTTTGTAGGAGTTTTCTTCAGGGAACGTAACTGTTATAAGTTTTATTTTAAAAATCACACTTAAACAGTTATTTTCTGATTTGTAAAGTAAAACTCAAAGAATAACTGTTATTTTTTGAGTTTTATAATAAAAGTTGACAAATAACAGTTATTCGTCGTGATCAAAACAAAATTTTAAAAAAATATAGGTATAAAATATGCGCGGTTGCCTTTTTTAACAAATTTTTAGTAAGTTATAAAAAGCACGGGTATCATGTTTTTTTAATTATTTCATTTTTTCAAAAATGTCAAGGGAATAACTGTTATTCATAAAAATCAAAAAATAACAGTTATTTTTTGAGTTTTATTATAAAAATCAAAAAATAAAAATCATTACGGATTTGTAAACTACAATGGCTAATAAAAATTGTGGTGTATTTAAAAAATTTTTAGGACCCTTCTAAGTGCGTGATTTTTTTGTATGAAAAATTTACAATAACAGTTATTTTCGTTCCCTGGTTTTCTTAAACTGATAGCGATTTTTTTAAGAGCTTTCCTAAAAATAAATTCCAGTTATTTGCGGAGAAACATAATCTAAGGGAGGTCTTCTATTATAAAATAAAAAGTATACTTTATGCCAAGTTATTAGAAAAAGAAATGGTTACAAAATTAAATAGTCATTTTTATCATTCAGAAATATTGCTATAATTAAAATATACAAAAAAGTATAATTCCTTTTAATAAAAAACGTATACGAATTCTCTATATATAGCTGTGTGTTATTTTATTTTTCTTATTATTTTTATTATGGTTTATTTTCTATAAGAATCTACTGCTTTCTATCATTTGACAATTTAAATCGATAGGAGAGAGCGAGAAATCATTCAGATCATACAGTAATCTCCCGTGGGATCACTGAGGCTTAGAGGAACCCCATAATCTTATCAGGGAGACACTCCTCCTCCACCTGATAAAGTGGGGCCACGTTTGTTCAATTGGTTTCTATATAGCTATACATATATTCCACAAGAGATTCACTCGTTTGAGCTTATCAGTGTCTGGAAATGGTGCACACGGCTTTTTTCCTGAGAAGTTCCGCCGGAATGAAATGGAGGATCGGGCGCCATCTTGGCCGCCTGCTGACTAAGTCGGAACCTCCGCGATGACGTGGATGTCACATTGTTACGTAAGGCGATGCAATCACGGTTTTTGCATTGTCCCCTGAATTTGCATCGCAGTTTTCTTATCGCCTTCTTGTCGCTCCTCACTTCCCTGACCTACTATAATATAATTGTGTAAATATTTTTTAATAATAATTGAAAAATCTCTGCGTATACGAAATATCCCGTATACGAATTGTTTTAAATATAAAGGTGCAAAAGGACCGAATGATGTATCCATTCTATTTTTTTAAACCCAATTTTTATTGGTTTTCTAGCGAGATTAAATTTGATTTTTTTTTTAATCACTGAATGTACTATTGTATATGTAGGTAGGTACTACATTTTATAAATCAACGTGAGAAATATGTTTAAAGAAATACATCTTTAATCACTTTTGAGTGTGTTTTTTCCCTAAGCTTTTTCTTGAGCATTTGGAGTACCTATTATACGAGTATGTGTCTATGGATCCCAGCCACGCATCAGGGCAATTTATCAATTAGCGACGCCCATTCAATGAGAGGACTATGCTCATATTGCCGAACATCCGGAATGCGGATACGGTCCACTAGCACGTGAAATGAACGTCAATTTGCCATTTTAATGCTGCTATAACTACTCTG